TGTATAAAGCCTCATAATTCACGGAGCAGTGCTTAGAGTCCCAAGAGTCTGATACCCAAGTAGTAGGGACAAATTAGCCACAGGCTAAAAGCTCCACTGGTGTGGCTAACAAGCCTTACAGGCAAGACTCAAATCAAATTGCTTCCAAATAACTTAACCATACTCCAGGACAAAGTTTAGACATATTTGCAGAAATGTGAATATATCCAGCACAGAAAAAAAAAAAACAGTAAAATTCATGCAAGTACGAAAACAACCCATGATAAAAAAAGAAAACCCAACCCAGAACTGAGCCAGATGTTAAGCTGAGCAGACAAGGACATTAAAAGATTTTGAAAACATGTGTTAAATATTAAGTAGAGACATGGAAAATATAAGACAGACCCAAGCCAAAATTCTACAGTTGAAAACAACCTCTGAAATTTAAGTGACACCATCACATTTGCTCAATTGGAAAGCTCATCCGGCTGCCATCTGGAGGGTGGGTTGGGGGGTATCTATTAAAGTATGTTAATATTCCGACAGCACAGGTAAGAAATGATAGTCTGAAACAGTCACAGTAGAGCTGGGCAGAATCGGGCCTTTTTGAAACATTTGAGAAGTGGCAGTCCAGGCCAGGTGTACGGTAAGCCAAAGATGACCAGAATGTGAGACCCAGGTGAGGAAAGCAAGCTTGTCCTCTACTCCAGATGCAGAGGGCACCAACTGCCTCACATAGAATCAGAGATGGGCAAGACAGCCCGAGCAATAAATGCAACTGGGGAGGCCACCCTGTGAAGCCACCCATGTGTCCCATGGGGTGCCAGACACAGGGAGGGGCCACGCACTCAAGTGCTGGAGGCTGTTGCAGCTGACTTCTGCAGAGAATGAGCATGGAAGAGGTGACAGCTGAGTGCCAGATAGGGCCAGACGAGTTCAGAGTTTATCCAGGGCACAATGTGAGTGGACTAGCAGGCTTTGAAGAGGGGACCAACAATTATTTTTACATATAAAAAAATTGGGGGTGGGTGGGTACTAGGGATTAAACTCGGGGCACTCAACCACTGAGCCACATCCCCAGTCCTATTTTGTATTTTATTTAGAGACAGGGCCTCACTGAGTTGCTTAGCACCTCACCATTGCTGAAGCTGGCTTTGAACTTGTGATCCTCCTGCCTCAGCCTCCCGAGCTGCTGGGACAACAGGCCTGCGCCTGGCTTAAAATATCATTCTTGTTAATGGAGGAAGCATGGGCAGGAAGGGGAATGGCAGAAGCAAATGACCAGCCAGAAGGTTTTGGTCATTCAAGATGACAGTTTACATGTGACAAATGGACAGAAGCAAGTAACTAAGAATATATACCAGAAGCAGACCCATCAGACCAGGTTTTTATTTATTTTGCCAAAGTGGACACTGAACTCAGGAACTCTCTACCACTAATCTACATTCTTACTCCTTATTGAGATAGGGTCTAAGTTGCCCAGGCTGGCCTTGAACTCGTGATCCTTCTCCCTCAGCATCCCAAGAAGCTGGGATTATAGGCATGAACTACCACACCAGCCCCAGTCCTGGTTTTAGAATGGATGTGAAAAAAGATGGACAAGGATAGGAAGAAGTGACAAGGATACTCCCGTGTTTGTGACAGGAGTAAATGCCATTTATTGAAGTACAGAAAGCTCACACAGGGCAGATATGGGAGGGAAGAATGAAGAATTCCAGTTTAGATATAATTGATGAGATCACAAGCAAGCAACTACAGAGGAGGGCATGGTGTCAGGGGAGAGACCTGGGTTAGATACAGGAATGTGATGTCATCAGCCCATAGGTGGTATATTGAGCCACAATAGACATGATCACACAGGAAGTTTGCAGAGTCAAGATGACAAGACTGAGCTCCTATAATTTGACATTTGAGTGAGGTGGGAATGTCCATAGCTAGAGAAGTATGTGGAGGCAAGGAAGAATTTTTAGTGAAGGAGATAAAGCAAGGAGGTGGCAACCCAGAGTACCTGTGAAGGGACTGACTGTGAGAGGAGGGACGCTCTGATGCAAGGTGCAGATCTGCAGAATAGTAGTGAGACATTCCTCTTAACAACGATACCCTCTATTAGGGAGGATAGCAGGGAGGCAGCGGTGGTAGGCAGAAGTTTAAACAATAAAAGTAGGAAAAAGTTTTGTCTTATTGCTAACAGATGCCAGAATTTAAGACAGCAAAAATCCCAAGATAAAAATTACCAGTATTCATGGAGCATCTGCTTAAAGTTCTCAAAGTCTCAACACACAATAAATGTATTGTAGTCTGACTAGCAGAGGAAAAGATCAAATCGCCCCATGCTCAGTGTTGACCCAGAGCACAGCAATTAATCATTTCGGGACTAACTAGTTCTCTTGCTCCCAGCCCTTGGTTCCTTCCATTCCCAAGAGATGATTTTCAGAAGTTTCTGTTTGAACATGAAAGTCATTCAAAATTACTTTGCTTTTCACAGTGACTCTGATACCTGAGGATATTAGATCTAATAATTCCCACTAAAACCCAGTGTCCTAGGAGTCTTACTATATTCTCTTCTCTTAGTTCTCCTTTCTTCTAATTCCAGAAATGTAGACTGGTTCAGTTATGCTTAGAGGGTAGACAGTTTTAAAGTCAGGATCAGTGGCTATAGGTGTTCCTAGTATTTCATGCCTAATACCTTTCAGCTTCTTCCAATAACAATGGCAATGAAAGCCTTAGAAAGTTTCCCATTCTAACCTGACTGTTGCTGCTACAAAGGTTCCAGGGGAAAGGCTCCCCACATGGCTAAGCATCAAGCAGATTCAAGTAATTCCATGATCCAAGCAAGGGAAGCGAGCTGAGGCTAGGTCCAAAAAGAGAACAGAAAGATTGTTTCAGTTCCCCTTCAGGGCCCTTTGAAGTAGGGTCTGTAGGCTAGAAGGCCCATACCCCACCTCAGAGACAGCCAGCATTCTGCCACCAGCTCTGCCAGGGTTGAAAACCAACTACTATTGCCAGATCTGCTTTGCCAAGACCTTCCACAATCACAGGTAAGAGAAACTACTGGAAGTTTAAATGGTGGAAATGATACATTTTCAAAACTATCAAGTACCTCCTACCCAAAAAGCAAATAAAAATCCACAGACAACCATTTACAACCTCTATTTTGATTCCATAACCAGAGTGAGAATCAAAATGAAACAGGGAAAATCTGGGCAAACCCCTAACTGCACTTTCATCAACTTCACAGGTCAAGTCGCTGAGCAGTACACCCCATTAGATTTACCGAGATAATGCCTCTGGGGTATCGTAACCTTGGCAATGATGGTTTAAGCCGTTTCAGAATCTTGGGAGGCCTCTTATGTCTCTTAAACCCACTGGAACCACAGACCTTCTCTTGGGCCTTCACAGGTGTCCAGCAGGCAACCTTGGACATGAAAGGACTGAAAGTTCCACCTGGGATCATACTCATGCTGCCATTTTTGAATACTGGTCTTATGAAGAGCAATCAGGTTGGACTGCTGGTGCACAGGTCAATTCCTTCACTTTCCCCATCTCCAGTCACTTTCTCCCCCACCATAGGCCACCCTGTGACACTGCTGGTTATGACACTGCTGGTGGCAAGTTCTGCTCCTTCACTAACATTGAAGTATAACATTAGAGAAGCACGCAAGGCAAGATATAAAGCAGGGTTTATTTCAAAAGGGATAACAGACTTCTGCCAGGAAAAGGGGGCCATAGCTGGTATTCTGTATCCCAGGAAGTGAAGGTGTTCTGCCTTTTTGTATGTCCTAGGCTTCCTTTGTTCTCCTGCTCTCTTCCCCCTTACCTCTCTCCTTCCTAGTGACTAGGCCCAGGAAATGCTTGGCAGGATGGCCAAAAGGTGGGAAACAGGTGGGCTGGAGGGGCCAGGGAGGAGTTATAGTGGCAGGAAGGGGGCCCAGGGCAAATTAATTAGCAACTTTTACAACTCCCTGTAGGGAGGGACAATTCCTGGGACAGGTTACCTTAGCAACAGGTTCTTAGAGGAAGGACTCTGAAGGAAATAACATTTCAATCCCTCCATTGGCCACATCCCATAAAGACCCGTAATTCCTATCCTCCAGGAGGCAGATTTGAGACTTCGGGTTCCTACCTCATGAAAAACATTTGTAGTTCCATGTGGTGGCACACACTAGTAATCCCAGTGACTCAGGAGGCTGAGGCAGAAGGATCGTAAGTTTGAGACTGACCTGAGCAGCTTAGTGATACCTTGTATGGAAGTAGAAAAATTAAATGGGCTAGGGATATTGCTCAGAAGTAAGCATCCCTGGGTTCAATCCCTAGTACCAAAAAACACAACAAACTCTTTGGCAAAACTGATTCAGTGTTTAGCATACCGTGTAGAAGAGCAGCAAAACAGGGCTCATTCAGTAAAAAAATATCAGCTCTATCATGTTCTAGCTCTTCTCACCTTTGGCAAATCAGTGAGCTAAGCCTCACTATCCTCATCTGAAAAATATCAAACATTAAACAATACTTATCAATACTTAATTTCCAAAGAAGATAAACAGCTGAATACAGTTTCTTACAGGTACAGAGCAGATTTACTATGGGTAACTTATCTGTAGTGATCTTTAAAGAATCAAAGATCCCAAGGAGGCTGAAATGTATAAAGGTTTTCAAAGTCTGATTACTGAATACTGGGTATTAAAGTCATTAGAAACTAAATAGAACCAGCAATAAAGAATGCCTAGCAATAAATACCTAATGAGCTGGAAGTGGCTCTTCTAATTAAGAGATCTAATAATTGTCACTAGTTAATGGCCACAAAAAAAAGCAATAAAGTACACATTGAAGGGTATATTTATCAGGGAAAATAGTGGCAGCTTCTAAAATAACCTGTTAAAACAAACCATAGGGTTTTAAGGTAAGATTTTATAAATCAGACAAATCTTCCTTGTCAGATTATAGACTCTGGTCTGTTAAACACACTTCAGCCTAGTTCTTAGTTCTTGTATTGCTTTAAGTAAATTCCAACACCAATCACAAAATTAGGGCCTGTTAAACAAATGCTTTATTAACACAAACGAACTACAAAGCACTAAGACATTTAAATATCCATGTCATAACAAACGGGTGGCAATTCCACATCCAGGGTTGACAGAATGCTTGAAGGGGACTGCAGCGGATCTACAAAAGAGGAAGTTCTCATTAAATTTCTGTAAACCTTGAGTTGTTGTCCAAATCAACAGACTAGCTGTCACTTTTAGTCATGAACTCATGTTTTTGGTCTAATGAATCCCTACCCACAACCCCACCTCACATACACTTCTTAATATGCAGCTATGGTCCCAGAATTGACCTTTATCAGGGTATGTCTTAGAAGTACCTGAATCTCAACTCTTCTTAGAGTAAGAGCTAGCAGCCTAACAAATGATAAAACAGGACAAGCTATCTCATAGGGACAAACAGGAAGCACAGTGAGGATGGCTTCTGACCACGCAAACAAAGACCTCAAACCTTGGGCAGTAACAAAATAATGTCATTCTACACTAGAGCACAGGGGGTCTCAATCCTCTGTTAGTGTGGATGTCACTGGAGTTCTCTCCATACAAGTTTTGTATACACTTCGACTTACAGCCTAAGAAGCCACACGTTAAATTGAATACTTTTGCAATATCTAAGACTGATTATATTTCAGAATCACTTCACTTGGCCAAGGCATTGGGGACTAAAATACAAAATACCAACTGAGAACTGAGTTTTCAGGTTTCTGCAATTTTCACCTTAAAGCATAGAAATTACCCATAGGCTGCCCTTCTGCATAACTCTTGTACCCACAGTAATGGATGTTGTTATGAAACAGGTCGTTTTCAGCCTTCAAGAGGACACTTTTTCACTTACCAGATGCCCATGGTGGTGATGGCATCTTCACAGGCGAAGGGGGGCCCAGCTGCAACAGCTTTTCAAGTCCTCTCTCCTCGTCAAGGATCATGAGAGGCACTCCACTCAAGGAGAGGTGAGCAATCTGATGCTCCTCAGGCAGGTCAAAACTCTCAAAATCTGTCAGAAGGAAAGCATCTTCTCATCAGGACAGCAGATCTCAGTGGTCAGCAAAATGCTGGAGGTCAGAGAACCTTTCAGAGGATCCACGAGATCAAAACTACCTAGCAAGGTTAATACCTTTTCCACTGTTGACATCTGCATGGTCGGTATTAAAGCAATGGTGGATAGACCTGCTGGTGCCTTAGCACATATCAAGGCAGTGGCAATGAACTACATTAGTAGTCACTACACTCTTCAACATTATTCGGTTGTAATTTAAAAAAAAAAAGTCACTTCACCATAGAGATTAACAAGTATAATCTATTCACTCTCAACTCTTAAAAAGAGATCTTAAGATTCCGTGTGACAGAATGAAAAATGTGTCATGAAATATTTGTCATACACCAAGGTATGATTTCCTCCCCTGCCTAGTAATGGGGATTGAACTCTACCCCTAAGCTACATCCCTAGGCCTTTTCATCTTAAGACATTGTCTCACCACATTGCTCAGGCTGGCCCCAAACTTTTGATCCTCCTTCCTCAGCCTCCCCAGTCGCTGCAATTACAGGTGTGTGCCACCACACCCAGCTGAGGATTATCTCCAATAAAAAAATTTGTGTGATTATTTGAGTTGCAAGATAAACTAGAGGACCTTCTCTGGAAACATTTTCACTTCAAAGAACAAAGGAACAACTATGGTCATTCAAACTTGGGTATCTGTCACACACCTCTCGAAGGAATGAAGGATACCTATCACACTTCAAAGAAAACAGTCTGTGCCAATAACATAATTCAAGAGCATCAAGAAAAAATTAACTGTGGAAAACTTATTTGCAATAGTTTGCAAAATAAGTTTTTCACACTGTCATGCTATCATTAGCTAATACTTTTCTGATGAGAGCAACAGTGATTATTAATGGGTTTTTGATGTTAAATGATGAAACATTTAACATCATTAGCTAAACATTAGATATTTACCTCTCAATGAACCAATATTTCTAAGTGATCAATGCATAATAAATGCAAAGACAGAATATATAGTGCTACACCAAAATAATGTACTATCAGAATACACAATGTTCACTGGTAATGGTCTCAGTTGTAATTAAAAATTAAAATGTAAGACTCTACATTGCAATTATATGTTCAGATACAGCCACTTGTTTCAGAGAGGAACATAAGAAAACCATTGACATTCATCTGATAAGACATACTCCCCCTTCCTAACTCTACATCTGCATGAGGCCTGATGTTCTTAATTTGCCTTAGCTAAAACAGATGCAACAGATTACAGAATATGACAAGAATTCAATTGTCTTATTAAGTCCAATTAAGCAAATTTTCAAAAATATAAACCATACCATTCTTATCACTAGATCTGTTTGGAAACTTGTCTTATGTTAATTTATGAGTTTATTATTTAATAAATTAATATTCTTAGAATGTCTTAGTTTTAATTTCTAATAAGAAATATAAACAGGACACATAAGCAGAAAATTTTGGGGATCTTCAATTTCTAAAACCTTAAAAGGGTCCCGAGACCAAAAAAGAACCACGTATTAGGTAACTTTCTGTGGTATAACCCAAGTGCCTTACTTCTTAAGAATTACCTAAAACAATCAATTTCTCTTGACAGCAAGAGAAGTTTGATTGAAATAGTGTTTTGAGTTTTCCTTTTCAAAGAGTGTTCTCCCAAAAGATCAGAAAGTGGTTGTTCTCATCTTTGTACTTAGCTGTGAAAGGGCTCTAAAAACCTAGGTCCTTGGGAATTTGTCTGCTCTTTTTCAAGGCTGATAAAACCCAGAAGTCAAAAAGATATTGAGTGATATGACCACAATTTAAAACTACAGAATTATAAAGAAAACCATAAATAGACAAAAGACTCCAGAGGAAAGCCAGGTACAGTAGCGCACACCTGTAATTCCAGCGGCCCGGGAGGCTGAGGCAGGAGGATTGAGTTCAAAGCCAGCCTCAGCAAAAGTGAGGCACTAAGCAAATCAGTGAGACCCTGTCTCTAAATAAAATACTAGATAGGGGGCTGGGGTTATAGCCCAGTGGTAGAGCATTTGCCTAACATGTGTGAGACACTAGGTTTGATCCTCAGCACATTAATAAAAGCTTTAAAAGACATTTAAAAAAATAGGGCTGGGGATGTGGCTGAGTGTCCAATTCAATTCCAGGTAGCCCTCCTCCCTTCCCCCCCCCCCAAAAAAAGACTCCAGAGGAAATAGGTCTGCAGTATTACAGGGTTAATTTTATCCCCAAAGAGCTCTTTTTAAAATAAGTAAATCAGTAAGAAAGTCACATAACCAAAGGATAATGAATGCAAACAGAAAATTTCAAAAACTGTCTACTAATCAAATATGCAGGACTACTTGGCAATATCTTTCCTCAAATACAGCTTGTTGTGGTCCTCCTTCCTGGTCTATACATATAAAATCTACCTCATTTTCCTTAATGGCTAAATGGCAATCATTAGCATGGATATACTACATTTTATCAAAACTTAATCCCCCCTGCCCAACTCAGCAAACACTCTAAGTTAACCCTCCAGATGAGCAAAAATCACAACATAATTCCAAGAATACTAACTGCACAATTGTCTCTCATATATAAAAAGCCGTAACAATCTGAATGTAAAGTATTACTAAAAGCCATTTGGTTAAAGGGGCAAAAAATCTGGATCAGAAATCTCTATGGCCCTCACCAGGTGCAATAGGGAACACCTGAAATACCAAAGACTTGTGTGGTCTGAGGCAGAAGAATAACAAGGCCAGCCTCAGCAAATAGACCCTGTCTCAAAGTAAAAATGATTTTAAAAAGGACTGGAGAGGTAGCTCAGTGGTAAAGCACCCATAGGCTCAATGCCCAGTTCAAAAAAAAAAAAAAAAATTCTATAAGACTCTGCCAGACCTGCCCCCATGCTTCACTTACAGTTCATTCCCCAGAACACATCACTCCTTTTCCCTACCTTGGCTCTTTGCACACTTGATCTACAATACCTTCATGTTCACTCAGTGAGATGATCTAGTCAACGATTGCCTTTCCCGCTGAACTATGGGCTCCCTCATGGCAGGGCCCCATGTACCATGCTAACCACTGCATCCAAACCCTAATAGTGCTTGACACACAGAAGCCTCTCCTCAACTGCTGGAGTAAATGAAAGCCTGAAAAGCTGGTCCTATGATGGAAGATATTTCAGATATATACAGCTGATTGAAGGAATTTTTTTTAAATGTTTTCACTAGCTGAGGAGTTTTTCTTTCTTTTTTTTTTTTTAAACCAAGAAATAACTAACCAACCAAGGTACTGTCAGGCATTGCTTAATTTGACACAAGGGCTCTTTGCACACCCTGAAAAGGCTTTCTAGACAGACTGTCCACACTGGCACTTGCTCAATATCAGGCACACCTCCCTTTTGAGAACAGGAACAACATCCTATACCTTTGCTCCCATTCCCTTCCTGACAAAGGTGATACCTCGCAAATGATTCCACCTAAACAAGTATATTTATTCTAAGCAACCCAGGTTTGGTCAGTCTCATTACAGTCTAGGGTTATATACTGTACTTACAAGTTACAGCTGAGTTGAATTTACAAGAGAAACCAGAGATCAAAAGCAATTTTTGCCATACCAAAAGATACTACCTAAAGGATTGAAGGGAAAGAAGTTTTCTATTTCTGGATAGGTCTCATCAGAGGCAGGAACCGAGCTTTTTGCTTTAGCAGTCTTCTCAGTCATCTAAAATAACCCAAGAAAATGTGTTAGCAAGAATGGAAGTCTTGTCAAACAAGCAGCACAATAGATGGAAAGACCTCTTCAAACATATTACTTCACCACACTTTCAAATTTGCCAATTTCATACTGTCATCTAGGAAGCTATAATCCTTAGTTTTCATGATTATACCCCCAAACAATCTAAATATATATAATTCAAACAGTTCTAGTAACCTGGCTCAAAAGTTGAAGACTTAAGTATTAGCACCTGTTAACACAATTTAGAGCTAATCAACTCAATTATCCAAACCTAACCGAGGAAAAAAATGGTTATTAGTGCTGAGATTAGTAGTTAATCCTCAAAGTCATTTTTGATTTCTAGAAGTGTGATGTTTTTTTCCCACCACTGTTACCTTAATTATTTGCTGAATTAATATTAACAAGTGTGTCTTCCTCAAATACAGTTAAGAGGTAGCAAGTGATAGTCTAGGACTTTTGAAAAATAGGTAGACTTTGACTTAGTAGAACAAATGGAAGCTTCAGTATTCTTGATTTACCTTACTTCATATGTGCATACCTAGAGGAAATCTCACAGGTTTCCCACATTTCAGTTCTGGGTAACAGTCTCATTCTTCCCATATCACTGCAATATCTGCATTTAACATTTTCTCTTTATCTTTTTTTTTTTAAGAGACACCCCTGTCCTAAACTGCACTACATGTATGTCATGGGTTTGATGTAACCGTCTTCTAATACACATTAAATAAGTATTCAAGGTGTTAATCCATATGCTAAACTCATCTTTCACAACAAAGTCCTCTCAGTCTGGGACACAGTGTCCTGTACCTTGTAACCACATAAAAAGATCAGTATGCTAGCAAATAGTCCCCTAACAAGCTGGTACTTTCTCTGGGAGGTGGGGAAAAGGTTGGTAGCACCTGAATAAGATCACCAGGCATTCTCTCAGTATTTTAATTAGATAATACAAACCAATCTGCTGCCAGATACCAGTTTAGGTCAGGTGAGGTGAAATTACACATTAGCTACTTCTAGTTCAAGACACAGAGAAGTGGGCTGGGGATGTAGCTCAGTGGTAAAGTGCTTGCCTCACATGTGTGAGGCACTGGGTTCGATCCTCAGCACCACATAAAAATAAATAAAGATACTGTGTGTTCACCTACAACTAAAAAATATATTTAAAAAAAAAAAAAACAGATACAGAGAAGTAAAATGTGATTCTACTCTGCTCATGTTTGCTTATCTGCATTTCCTTTCTATTTAGGAGGAAAACAGCCAGGTAGGATGCAACAGTCATTTTCAGAGCTAAAAGTGCTGAAGTTTAAAACAATACCTTCATAGCCAATACTTACCTTTTTGGCAGGGAAGGTTGGTTGTTTTTGTTTGAGGGGTGCATTGGTCTTTACTGTCTTTTCTGTAGCTCTGTTGACAGTTCCCAAAGCCTTTCTGACAGTTTTAGGGGCTGGTGGAGCATGAAACGTTTTGCCAACAAGTGGTGTTGAAACCTGAGACCTCCCATCTAAGGCTTTAACTAGCAAACAAAAAGTATCACCATAAGATTAGACCAGTGAATTCCTTTGTAACTCCAATGCTCTCTATATAAACTTGCCCTAATTCTCACCCCCAACACTGACCCTCATTTTTGGTAGTAACTAAGAGCATATCACAAGTACTGAAAGTATTGAGGTTCAACACTCTTTAAGTCATCTCATTAACATACTGAGAACAAGGGCTGGAGTGTGATTCTGGTAGTGAGTTTACCTAGTATATAGAGGCCCTGGGTTGTATCCCTAACACACACACACACACACACACACACACAAAAAAAAAAAAAAACTACTGAGTATTAAAATAACAAACCTGACTAGTTGCCTACGAACTACACTAAATGCTCAATTGGCTCCAGGCCACATCCATGATACTTTAGCGTCTAACTTCAGCCTTATATACTTACCAGGCCCAGGCCCCCGCTTCAGCACCTCCTTAGGAGCCACACGAGTACAAGGTTCTCCATTTTCCTTATCAACAAAAATCAAAGTAGCCATTCTGGATTGCTCTAGGGATGAGACGTATGTATGAGAAACCGGGGACTGGGGAAGGAGAGAAAAGCAAAGGTATAGCACAGATCAAACTTTCTGCCCAGGGGACGGGACGTCCCGACAAAAACAAGAGCTAAGCAGAGGAAGAAGCCCGTCCTTGGGCCACCAAGAACTTAAGACCGAGTCAGAGGCTCTGAGGTCTAAACAGGCTATTTGGGACAGGCTCTCATTAGAAGAGAATCTCGTGCGCCCAGAACTCAGCCCAAAGTCCCTACTGCACCGGCATCAGAGTCACCGGAGTTATGGGCACACGGCCCCAGCTCCCAGCCCGACACCACTACGCCCTCACACCGCTGAACCCGGGTCCTTCACGCCGTTCCCAACAAACTCACCCAAAACGGCGCGGCCAGAGACGCCGCACGCCCCCGGTTTAAAACACAACTCGCGATTCAATTGGCTCCTCCGCGAGGAGGCGGGGCCTGGGGCGGAGTCTGTAAAAAAGAACCAACGAGAGGAAATCACACTGCCAGGACCCGCCCAAAAGCTCTTTCTCCGGAAGTCTGTGATTCCTTTCCTACCAAGAAAAAAAGAAAACAAAAACAAAAAAACCCTGGGAGGCTTTTTGCTCTCCATAACGTTGAGCTGTGTGGACTAACGCACTGACCCAATGTCACTGTTTTATTGTTTTGAGGTCTTTTTTATTCAGTTGACACTGTAGAAAGGATTGAAAATAAAACATATATTTCCATTTCTACTTATTTTCAAATACTGTAAAAATTTGATAGGCTTGGAAAAAAAGAATGGAGATCATCTGAAAGCCTAGCCCCACTAAAATAAGCAGTCTTCCTTTATATGCAGGCTTCTAAAATAAAATTTAATGTTTACATTCCTTAATACAAATTATTTTTTCTAAAGTGGGTTGGGTGGGAGGGGATTCTATCGAGGCAGAGACTTTAACTATCACATTTGAAAACGCACACACGCATGGGATCAGGGGATAAACTTTCAGAATAGGCAGCACACTCAAATCACAGGAAATTCTGTAACCAAAATTATTGCTTATTTCCCAGTTTTTTATTTTATATGTATACTTTCGATTTGGGGGTGCATCTCGGTGGTACAGAGAGGACTTACCTACCAGGCTTTATGCCCTGGGTTTGATCCCCAACACCCCCCCAAAAAAAATTTAAAGACAAAAACCTCACATGTATACTTCCCAAGAAGGATAGGAATATTATAAATGCTATTGTTTTCTAAAGCAAAAACAAAATATTTTATAGTATTTTTTGTTTTCTCATAATAAAATGCAAGTTCACTTCAGGGCGATGTGACATAATTACCAAAACATGCCATCTCGTAGCTCCTGATATTTTTCTAGCGGCTTCTTCCAACTGAGAATTATTTAAATGATTAGGGTCTTTCTCATTCTGTATGGTGCAAACTCGAGGAAAGACACTTTGTGTTCACACACATCCCTAGCGTGCTACATTGGCTGGCTACTAATTACTAGTAATTTAATTGCTTCATTTAGTTCATACGTCACAAACTTCCCTATTCATGAAATAGCCCTCTAGCGAGTTTTAAGCTGTTGCTTGTTTTAGGTACTAAATTTCGGGAGGTTTTTGCATCCTACAATACTGAGATTCTAACAGGAACAAGGATTTCCAGAAAGAGTGAAAAGCTGCACAGCCAGAAGTTATCTAACTGCCCAGGATAACCAGATTAAAAAGGCACAGCTCAAGTCTCGCGAGACCCGTGTCAAGTACTTGTCAGTGCGCATGTGTCGGTTGTCCGGAAATTACCGCAGTGACTGCCGGGAGGAGGCAGGAAGCCCGGAAGTAAACATTACCGGACTAGTTTCGTTTCTATCGGATGGTTGTGGGGTAGGCTGCGGCCAGACCGGGTAAGGAAATATTCAGAAGCTTTGAGGGAGGTGAGGTAGGAGTGGGAAAGAGCTAGGAAACCTCAGAAAATGGGTGGGTGGGGCTCCTGATCATTAGATGTATTTTCACGGGGGTGATGGGGGAGCCAGGACGGGGAACCCACTGTTAGGCTGGGACGCAGGCCTGCCATCAGTGTCCAGCCACACCAAGCAGAGAGTCGGGGTAACGGCGAGTGCCTCTTTGTTTCGGGTATCTTGAGCGGTCCTTTCCCCAAGTTGACTGTTTACTCCAGAAGAATTTCTTTGAGCTTCAATTTTCTCATTAGGTAGGGAGGATCTTACTTTCTTGTGCTATTATGAGGCTTAATGCGATGGTCTATGTAAAGTTCTAAGCACTCTTACACTGTAGGAGTAAGACTACTCTGTCAGTCGGAGCTCTTGTTTTTAACTGGAGAAAGTGGGCCCCTCCCCAGAGAGGGCATCTGATAAATACAACTTTATTCATTCAGTTATACTTTTCAACGTTGCAGGCCGAGAAGCCCCTGTCCTGTGGAGTATAACACGATGGTTAGAACTGACATTGGAATCAGACAGGCCTAGGTTTGAGATCTTTGTCTCTTCCTAGCATGTGTCCTTGTCGGAGAGTCTTAGTCTTTCAGAATTTGTTTCTTCACTATAAAGTGGGGTTGAAAAGATTAGTTGAGATCATGCCTCGTAAGCTCAAGCAATGGTAGTTGTTAAAGTGAAGATAATCAAATCTACCACTGTTTTTCATCTCAGTGTATACTTAGAATGTCATCAATTTATATATTACACAAGCATCTGTGGAGGTTTTCTTTGGACTAGATACAGGAGAGGATCACACCTTTCAGCAGCATCACAGACTCCTAGCCACAGAGCACTTCTTATTAAGAAAGAGCATGTGTAAAAGCGCAGTGTTTTCTCCTCTTAAGTTGTTCTTGTCAGGTATTTTGGTAACTGGGATGAAAAGCTAACACCGGCTGGAAGGTAGACAGGTACTGAACCATATGTGCTAAAAAGATGTTGATTTTTAGAATAGATGATAAGAACCTTTTAAGCTGTGTTGTTCAGTATGACAGTTACTGGCTACTTGGGGCTACATTGAGACTGGAAATATGACTAGTCCAAATACAAGAAAAGTCCATATAAGCTTTTTTTAATGTTGATTGGCATTTGAAATTATAATGATTGGATACATTGAGTTAAATAAAATCATATAAAAGTAATTTTACTCTCTAATTTTTCATACAGTTAGTGGAAAACAAAATTATGTGTGAGGTTGTTATTAAATTTCTTTTGGATAATGATGCATTAGAGGGTTACATTTGGATAAGAGGACATGATATTATCAAATTTTTGTTCTGAAAAATTAAACTGTCTCCAGCACGGGGAATTAATTGGAGGGAATCAGCAGACCAACAAGTCAAAAAAGTAATAATATATAATAAGGTGGTAGCATTGAGAATGGAGAGAAGTAGATGCATTTCAGTGATGTTCAGAAAATGAAAGTAATCTTAGTAATGAAATAGATATGTAGATAAGCTGGAACACTTATATAAAGAAATAGTTGGTGGCATCATGACAACCACAAGAATGGGAAGTTAGACTCTATGGATGTATAATATGTTAGTATACATTTTACTGTCATGTATGTCTTAAAAGAACAAATAAAAATTTTCTTAAAAATTAAGTAAAGAAATGAATTATTGTCTTTCACTGAAATAGTACACAGTGAGAGGAGACTGTATTTCAGAGGGAAGATCGGGAGTTTGAATTAAGGTATATTGAGTTTAGGTGCCTCTGAGAACGCTAATTAATAGAGGTCAGATAAACAATTCAGATACATATATTTTAAGCTCAGATAAACTCTGGAATAGAGAAGTAAATTGAAACTCCAACAGTGATATATTGTAGCCTTTGAAACTTTGGAAACTGAAGGAGGCTGTTACTGAGACTTGAGGAAACTAACATTAAATAACTGGGCAGTAAAGAATGAGCCTTTAAGGGAACAAAGGAAGCAATGAGAGAAGTACAGGGGGAAAAAAAAAACATAGAATGTAGTGTAGAAGCCAAGGAATAAGAGTATATAAAAAAGGAAAGTAACAGAACTGAAAAATTCTTTACTATAAAGTGGGGTTGAAAAGATTAGTTGAGATCATGCCTGGTAAGCTCAAGAAATTGATTTAGTACAATTGAACATCAATAACTAGTGGTAACTCTTTCATTGGAATGGTTGGGGACAGAGGCTAAGTGAGAGTGAGAAGGGAAGCAGAAGGTGAGGAAATAGAGACATGAAGAGGCATTTTTTTCTTGAAAGAGGGATGGAACCCTGTATACTTTAGGAGTTACTATGGTTACCAAGTTTGGGACACATGCTGGAAAGGGCAATTCAGGAATGTACACAAGAGAAAAGAGTCCCATGAAATTTTAATATATGTCTCCCTCCATTTGTAAATTAGAGTTGGGGAAGAAACAGTGCTAAGAGTATGTAGAGACTTTTGAGGCAAAGAAAGTGACCTTTCACAGACACTATGAAAGAATAGAAATATGAAATATATATAACCAGTGGTATGTGTTGTTAACGATGTGTTTTTACTGGTTTCAGTCATGAGTTTATGAAGGCCTACTTCCTTCTGTAAAGTACTCTCCTTTCTTCCTTTGGGGAGGCCAGGTCATCATGTCGGCCGCAGCTGTGGACACGGTTAATGCTGCACCCTTATCAGGGTCCAAAGAAATGAATTTGGAGGAACCAAAGAAGATGACTCGAGAGGACTGGAGAAAGAAGAAGGAGCTAGAAGAACAGCGAAAACTGGGTAATGCTCCAGCAGAAGTTGATGAAGAGGGAAAGTGAGTAATTTTTTTCATGATCTATTCATTGAAAATTCAAATTTTTATCTTTTGTTTTGACAGGAAACCATTTATAGCATTTATAACAGAATTAAGCATTAAGCATCTCTAAATAATAATACTTATGATTATTTTAATCAGTTTACTAGACATTATCTTTTAACTTCTTTCTCTGATAGAACATTTAAGTCACATTTCTACCTTCCTCCCTTTCTTCTCCTCTTCAGCTATATCACTATCCTTAGTATCTTGATTGGAAATTTTTTCAATGTAACATAAATTACTTTCTTCTTCTTTTTTTTTTCTTTTTTGTTCTCTGTGCTTCACTATAGAGACAGCACCACATTCTCTTCCCCCTTCCACTGCAATATTTCTATTCATAGATTCTGTGTAAGTTACCTTTGTAATTGTAATGCTATTTTCAAACTTTATTCTTAAATTTTTTAAAACTTTTATTACAGAGACATCAACCCTCATATTCCTCAGTATATTTCTTCAGTGCCATGGTATATTGATCCATCAAAAAGACCTACTTTAAAGCATCAGAGACCACAACCAGAGAAACAAAAGCAATTCAGCTCATCTGGGGAATGGTACAAGAGGGGAGTAAAAGAGGTATGTAGGCAACCTGTGTGTGTCCTCATAGATATGGAGATTTTATTTTAAGAACTTAATATAAACTGGGAGGCTGAGGCAGGAGGATCGCAAGTTCAAAGCCAGCCTCAGCAAAAGTGG